AGTAAATAAAATGAATGTGTCACTCAAGAAAGGATGGAATGAGAGGATGTTCTTTCCGACAATAATGAATGATAGACAATCCCTTGAATATTTGAGTTATTCACGGATCTAGTGGAAAAATGTAGATGTGATGTTTGTATCTTAGCAAATGAGATCTGATTCTCTTTCTCAAGTCAAAGTATATTTTTTTACAAATGAATATCACATGTCCCCTATCATTGTCTCTTTTTCTATTTATATGGGACATGTTCCTAAGAAACCCCAATAGTACAAGTGCAGAGAATATCCACTAGAATATTCTCTTTAATATCCTATCTTCAAACTAGTCGTTATAGTTTTGTCAACGGTACTCGACCTCAACTTCGACCCTTGTTGACACCTCGACTACGACTCTCGTTGATTTTTCGACCACAGACTTCGCTGTTTCTTGGGCCATTTCGACAAACGACGACTTGGGAACTCCTCCCTCAATATTATCTTGGCTTAAATATTCTAAAGATAGATTTTGACCCATACAAACATATGTACGTCATATGGATCGTTTATACTTAAAAAAACATAGAAAATAATTAAAGGTAATTACCCATAATCATTGTAATTAGTTATAATATAACTCGAACTAAACCCAAGTAACTTAGAAGTATACCTTAGTTGACAAAATATAATGTATATGAATTATTTTAGATCACAATTTTTAATTTTTTTTTTTTCCTCTTAAACTCGGGTCCACTCAAACAAAGTTACATAAAAAAAACATTTTATTAATTAATTAAGCTATAACTACGAAGGAATTTGTGAATATAAAGGGGGATACATTTTTGAAGATTCGACCTAGTGGCTCAAACAACTGGGAGAAAGGAATTGAAGGATCTTTTATTGGTCATAAAATGTTCCAAAAGATAAGGAGATAGATTCATCAGGTCTATATGCTTTACTAGATACGATTTCATTGAGATTATTTTCACACAATAAGAAGAATCTTTAGACATCAGTTTATTTTTAAAAATATTTTTAAGTAACTGTTGATAATAAATGAATACACTAATATGGAAAATAAAATAGACAACTTATTTTAACTTGTTAAATAATCCAATATTAAAAGAATTTCTAACATTATCAAAATATTAGAAATTGAATCCGACTTCAATATTCTAGGAGTATCCGGATGGCGATAATGCACACAATTGTTTGCATTTGCTTTTTACAAATATAAAAGGCTGAATAGATACGAAGACATCTCAAGTTGCCATGATTTTTTATTTAGATACTACAAATATCTCTTGTTTCGATTAAATCTCTATAGTAGGCCCAAAGTATACCAACCAGACACATTTTGCTTATATGGTTAATAGCGTGAGTTGCACCTGTAAAATACTCATGTTCATTGTCCTCTATTGATGTCCTAGAAGTACTTTCTATGCATAAATATATGTTCATACACACTTTCATCTTTTAATTACTCTATTTTCACTCAAAACCCTACTAATTATCGTTTATTTTTTGTCAAACTACAACCAGGACATCAAACTAAAGAGCATTCTACAAGGTGCAACTCACGCTATATCAACCATGTTAGCGAAATATGGCTAATTGGTACATTTTGGGCCTACTATAGGTATTTAATCGGAATAAGGCTTACTTGAGGTGTTTACATAATGAATCGTGATAACTTTAGATGTTATTCGGCCTAACATAAAAATTTGGTTTTTGATATTTTTTATATTCTTCCTCTGCTCTTTTTTAATACAACAGTGTTACTTGAGCATTTTTTTATTAGAATGTTTGAAATTCTTTTCTTTTTCTCTATTGTGTTTTGGGTCTTCTAGTTAAGAAAATGGCCGGCAAAAGGCAAATGCAGATGCGAAAAAGAAGATATACAGATAATGTTTTCAAGTGGTCAATGATCTTGGAGGTAAAGACGTTATAAAATAAAGAGAAATTACAAATGATTCCTTCATGACGTACAAAGACATTTCTTTAGAACATAATCTTTCTTGATAAGATAATTACTACTTTTTTTGTTCGTATAATAATTCTATGTATAAAGTAGATTTTGTGTAAAGAAATGGTCATAAACCAAAGGATCTTTACACAATAGCCGGTCGAGGTCACTGTTTATTTTTTCTAGCAGGTATACATAAATTATATACTTATTATATATGCTTATACACATATTACACATGAATTATATATATCATACATCCGCCAGCTAGTTTAGTTATGCGGTTTAGTGAGCGGCTTTTTAAGTAAATTCCAAATACCAAAAAGTACAGCTTGAAGATTCCAAACTGTTTTAAAAGTGAATAAGTGGTGCTTGAGTAATTTGTTGTCATCATTCAGTAATTTCAAATTCCAAGTCTTTTCATAGTTGAAAGTTATAGTTATATAGCTATCAATGGCCTAACTAACAAAGAAAGCAGCAACTTGACTTATGGTTGCAGTTTCACAAAAGTGTTTTAGATAATGTACTTCCACCCCGAAAAAGAAAAAAGAAGAATCAAAGAAAAAGTTCAAGGAAAAAAAAAACCTAAGTGCAACCCTTCTCCTCTTTTCCCTCTCACTTATTCACCTCTTCGCACATCTTATTCAAGAGTAGCATTATGTCTATATGTGACTTGGACATGTTGGCCAAATTATCAATTAATGACTAACAATCTACAGGGACTAGTATTGATTTTCACTTTGTCCGTGATAAGGTTGCGCAAAAAGACTTATTTGTGCACTTTATCTCCTCGAAGCAGCAGTTAGCTGATGTGTTCACCAAGTCGGAAAGGTTGTGTAACGATCCGACCGGTCGTTTCGAGCACTTACACTTCGCTCGGTAGTTTGAGGGCATGAGTAGCTCCGTATGATATATTATAACTTGTGTGAATCGTCGGTTTCGCTTTTCAGGTTATTTGGAATTGATTTGGAAGGATGAATTTCATGTTTGAAGCTTAAAGTTGAAAGGGTTGATCAAGTTTTTCTTTCATGAATTTGACCCCGGAACGGAGTTTCAACGGTTTCGTTAGGTCCGGTTGGTGATTTTGGACTCGGGTGTATGCTCATATTTGCATTTGGATATTTCTAGAAGGTTTCGGCACTAATTGGCGAAAGTTGAAAATGTGATGGTTTGGAAAGTTCATAAGTTTGAACGAGAGTTGACTTTGAGGATATCGGATTTGGATTGTGGTTCCGAAAATTGAAATAGTTTCGTTACATTATTTGGGACTTGTGTGCAAAATTTGGGTTTATTCCGGGTTGATTTGATATGTTTCGGCGCGAGTTTTGGAAATTGAAAGTTCAAAGTTTATTTAAGTTTGATTCGAGGTGCGATTCATCGTTTCGATATTGTAATGCATGATTTGATGCCTCGAGTAGGTCCGTGATATGTTACGAGACTTGTTGGGATGTTCGGACGAGGTCCCGAGGGGTTCGGGCGTGTTTCGGATTGATTTCGGGCTATTTTTCTTCATGTTTCCATTGCTGGTGTGTTCTAGTTTCTGGTGCCTCGATTGTTCTACGCGATCGCGGATTAGGAGATGTGATCGCGTGGAGGGAAATATAGAGCTGGGTTGTTTCTTATACACGATCGCGGAGTGTGGGTGCCTATGTTCTTCGTGTTCACATGAGTTAATTCGCGTAGGGTATTTGTTGGAGGCAGTGTTTTTGTTCTTCGCGTTAGCGAAGCTTTTGTGATTATACATTAGATTTAACATCAAATTCATGAGAATCTAAGGGAAAATTTGGGGATTTTGCCAAAGTTTTGAAAAATAAAAATTTGGGAATTGAGAGTCAAATTGGATTCGGATTTGGAAACAAAACACATATATGGATTCGTGGGGCTATGGGTAGTCAAGACCCGCTCTTGGACCCGGGTTTTGACTTGGCGAGCCCGAGGTTGACTTTTGTTGACTTTTTGAAAATTGTATAAAGATCATACATTTGCTAATTAAAATTATTTTCTCTTGCATTGTTTGATGAATTTAAGTCGTCTTTGGCTAGATTGAGCCGAGCGGGGGTAAATTTTAAAGGAAAAACTAATTTGAGTAATTGATTTGGCTGAATTGAGGTAAGTATTTTGCCTAACTTTGTGTGGGGGAAACCACCCCTTAGGATTTGAGATAATTGTGTTATTCGTGTTATGTGAAAGCCATGTACGCGAGGTGACGAGTCAGTACACGGCCTATATATAGTATTTGACCGGTTTCGAGTATATAAACACTTCCCATGCCTTTAATTGAAGTGTCATAACCTGTGATATCTTTCATTGTTAATCTACTCTTACATGCTCTACTTGAAGTTGTTAGCACTTGTTCTTCCTCTTACTTGTTATTTTGCACTTACATGCTTTAGTTGAAGTTGTTGCCTTCCTTATTATCTTGTGCCCTCTTAATTATTGCGTTCCTTCCATGACTCAGTGTTTATCTGCTACTTGTCTTAATTGTTGTAATTGCAAACCTTAGTTGTCATGTACTTCATTTGTCATGTTGCTTTTGTAATATTTGTTGCGTTCCTTGATTTTTACGTGGTTCCTTTATTGTCGTATACTCATATCCTGTGATTATAGAAATTCTTGTAAATTAACACTACGCCAAAAGAGGTTTTTAGTGGCAATAGATTTCCTTTTAGTGGCAATCTTTATTGCCGCAAAATTATTTAGCAGCAATTAAATAAATGCCATTAGATCCAGGGTCGCTAAAACCTCTAGTGACATTTATGTCGAATGCTACCCATATTATTGCGGCAAAAACTAATTACTTTTAGCAGCATTTATTTAGCGGCAATTACTATAGCCACTAAAGCTGAGTTAGAAATATAGTATTTAACATATTTTGTGGCTTTTGTTATTGCCGTTAAAATTCAACAATTGCCATTAAAGGTAATTTATTTTAGTGGCAATTATTATGGTGGCTAAACTGACCATAAATTCACCTTAATCCACTCATTTAAGAAACACTATTTTGTAGCTTCAAAAACAAAGTCACAAGAGCAATACCTTCTAACTAGAAGAATTATCAAACTCAAAACAATGTCATTTACTTGAAACAAGAACTAACAAAGCCGATACACCAACTTAGTTATCGACTTGTAAGAAATGTAGTATCCTTTTTTACAAGACAACTAAACATCAAATTGGAAACCGAGTCTCTCATCAACAATGTGATATTCTCAATCTTCTCTTCCTTTTATTAACAATGTGATACTCTTGTCAGCTATCGTTGTGTGACCTTAGAGTCAAATTTCCTTGTTTAAGTTCCTGCATTTCCCCATCATACAATAAGAATTTTTTGCAGATAAAATACATATTATAGCATATACGAGAGCAAATCCAAGAAGATAGCAAGAATTAAAGTAATATTCGTATAACCATTTGAAGACAACTAAAAATAAGAAAACAGAGTCATATTTGATATTATGTCTCTCAAATTGTAAGCCTGCATATATAAGGCATATGTCTAGGAATCTGTTGCTCCAGTTTGTTTCCTTGCAAAAAGAAATTGCTGAAGTTGGATTGAATTTTATAATTTCATTTTGTCCGTACGTTTTTTTTTCTATTTCAATCGACATTAAATGTCGTGTCTGTTTGCTATGGATCCCCTCCCCTCCCCTCTCTTGCCCTTTATGTAAAACAATGGCAACTTAAACATATACTATATGGTTTAATACCTAAAACAATCAAAAGTAGAATTACCGATTTAATTTGTGTGGCTAGACCTGCCTAAGAAAGGAAATAGGATATAAGGATACATATTTCATTGTGAAGCTTAATTTAACAATTCAAACATCAGCATACTATATCACAACATTAGCCTACTTTTATTACTCCTTCTGTCTCCCTATAATTTCAATAAATATCATATAAATTTGAATAAGCGATCACATAAAGTACAATCAGCTCAGGTACTAAAACTCAACTGCTGCAATTTATTACTGCCAATCAGAAGTAAAGGAAATAAGAAAGGCCAAGTGCTTTAAATAAGAATCAGTGCACAGGTTCTAGTAACATAATTGTAGGAATTTTAATACAGAATTAAGTTGTTCAATAGCTGTCTGAACTCAAAAATTTCTCACCGGTTAATTCGATTCTAACATCAACTAACGAGGTCCTTCAATCCAACAAACTAGTCTTTCATTAAAAACACTTGGACATAACACAGCTTTTAAAAGACTCATCAAATGAAACACAATACATCACAAAACATAGGAACAGGGCATGAGCACATTACACTATTCCCTATCGGGCTAATTCCATTTATATAATAAGTTGTAATATAACAAATATCAAATCAGTGTGTTTTTCAAATTAGATACATAAATTTTCCTTTTTAATAATAAAGTCGGTATATGGAGAAGTACAAAAATTCACATGATATTCACATTCTTACCTCAAAACTTTAACGCCCGAGCCCGGCTACTGCTGGTGAATAACGAAAGGGAAAGTTTTGTGTGAATCTGCGAAGGAAAATTTCTAACCCTAACGATAAGAAATTTCATAATGTATGGAGAAGAGAGCAGAGATTCCATATTGTATGAGAAAGTTCAAAATTGAGCTAAACTTACAGAAGCTATGGAGATTACCGAGATTTGAAATACAAAGCAGAGAGAACAACTTCAGATTGTAGAGTAAAAACACCAAAACCAATACAAAAATCGCAAAAATCAAAATTAAAACAACGAGCAAAGACAATATATACAGTAACAGTATAAAGTATAAACATATATAAGATCGATCGGATTGATATTACACTAAACTCAACTAAAATGCTAGTTGAATCGAATAAGTACAGTTATAGAAAAATCGAGAAGTAGATCAAAGAATAACTAAGTTGAATTGAAGAGACACTCACCGATCAGAGGAAGAGAAATGGAGAGAGAGAGAGAGAGATCGTAGGCTTCAGATTTGAATTGGGGGAATGTAGAGACTATAAATAATTGGAGGGAAGCTAAAGAGAATTGGAGGCCACACAACTTGAATTTGAAAAGGATAGTTTTTCTCTTCCTGGACTAATATTTTTATTTTGTCACTAGAAAGTATTCTTTTACCAGCTAAAGTTTAACTGCCGGTAATTAGCGACTCTAGAATATAAATTAGCGGCAATTAAGCTATTGTCGTTAATTAATTGCCGCTAATTAATTGCCGCTAAATGTCTAATTTGTTGTAGTGTGAGTATTGGATTGTTGGCTTATTATAGAAACTTCTGTTTCATGCTTATTAGTTATTTAGTTAGAGATTTATTATTAAATTAGCAAGTGTTAGGCTTACCTAATCTTAGAGACTAGGCGTAATCACGACATCCTATAGAGTGAAATTGGGATCGTGACAAAAGATATTAAGGCTTGTGGATCTACCAATATCCTCAAAGCTTTCTGCAAGCAGAGGCGGACCCATGTGTACGGGTGAGGGGTTACCGTACCCCGTAAACTTCGGCCGAAATCCTGTATATATATATATATATATATATATATATATACGTATATACCTTGAAAATGATTAATTTAAACCAGTTAGCACCCTGAACACTAAAAGCATTTAGGGGGCATTGGTTGAACAGAATAATGTGCCCCGTCGCGTAAAACTTCGTCCGCCTCTGTCTGCAAGGGAATTGAGGACGTGGAGTTCCCCATGTTTACAGTTCATGAGAATTGAGAACCTTCCAAACCTCCAAAATTTCTCCCCAGAAAGTAGTTTTACTACTCATGATGATCATATTAATGAGTTACAAACTCTTTTGTTGAAGCACCACATCAGTTAAAAATGGAAAATACTAAATGAATTAAGGTACTATCTTCTTGTCTTTCTCATTAAACTTTGTGGTAAATCAGTCATATTTTGCGTGAGACCTGTATTGTCTGCAGTTGCAGAAAGGCCATATGCATCTTTTTAATTATTTTCCCTGCTTTCCCTTGTCTACTTCTGAAGTTATGTCCTTCGTTATTGCTAGCCAAATCTATTGATAAGTAACTGGTTGAACTAAGTACATTGTCATCACTGCCTGATATTGCATCTGATAATACAATTTCGTTTCATTTGGCTAAGCAACTGCTGTCTGAAATACCAAAATATTGAAGGTATAAAGATCAATATTTGGAGGTAAAAGAAAAAATGAGTTATTTACGCATAATGGAGTTAAATGAATGATTATGCACGATATGTTACGCCAAATAGATCTAACAGTGTTTAGGTTATGAAGTTATAAAGGTACAAAAATAAGGGGAAGCAAAAATGATAATGTAAAAAATGAACTATTGTTTAACAACAAAATTAATCATGTCTCTCATTAATAGGTTGCACTGATAATTAAACGTCATTTGAAACTTCAATAGATTGACCGTGAGTTAGTAGGTCCTTTAAGAATCATTAGTAGTAGTAGATAAGACGTTAAAGTTCAATCATAGTGTCACAAATTTGAATTCTAGTATTGGAAAAATGACACTGTATAGCCATTGTAAAAATAATAGTCAAAAAAATATATAAAATTTGTATATATATATATATATACATTATGTATATTATATAAAAACATTATACAAGTCTTATACACTTTTTCGACTACCAAATGCAAATAGTTTCTGCCGCGAGCTAAAAGTGATACTACCCCTCAGAATGTTACTCTTGTCTAGGTGAACCATTCCTAATTTCATTGTCGACTATACAAAGAAAAGCACATGTGCCGAGAGATTATATTTGTCATGACCTAAATCTACGTGATCGGCACCCGAAACATTATCCGACCCGAGTGAACCAACCCGTATGTCAAGACCAAGTATAATTGTGGAAGCCAATTCAAAATCTTGTATATTTTCAAATCAAGTCACAAAATATTTTTCATTTCCAAAATCATACATGAAACTTTTCGTTAAAATGATACAATCAATTAAATAATTATCCTTTTATACATGACGTCCACAATCCTATTTTTACAATCCAGCACAACTATCTATGGAGCCACTATACATAATAATAGAACCAACACTTGGAATAATTCCAATAAAAGAAAATAAGAAATAACATGATAGCTACCACGAAATAAATTAAAAGTGGTGCTTCATCATACTTCGGAAAGAGAGTCATCCTAGCCTTGTCCACACATCACGTGCCCTACCTTATCCTGAAAAACGTAAAGAGAATGGGACCCTGAAGAGGGGCTCCTAAGAGCTGAGTACACCGCAATAGTACTCAATAAGTGTCATAGACTCTTTCTAACTCAAGTTCATGGGAGAAAGTTTGATAAAAATAAAGCAACCAACGTCTAGTACAAAATAATAACAATTATATCAATTCATGATTTTTAATAAAGATCATACAAAACTATTTCAATTTCATCAAATCATTAAAATAACTTTCGGCTCCTTAGGCCTAAACATAAGAAAACCATCCTTACCTTTCACTAGGAGTATTGTACCATCACCGACTCAAGAAGGTCAACTAGGTTATGTACCTAGCGGCAAGTATCATATACTCTACTTGGTCAGGTCTTCTCATCGTAGTGTCGTACGAATCGACTCAGCCATGCTAATAATAGCACAAAATAGTACCCTCTCGAGGGAGAGCACTCTGTCGTAGTCTATACCACAAAGTGACCATCTACGCCTACACCGGCACGTGTAGTTTCATGACGATGAACATAATATATCTGAAGCCAATCTCGGTGAACACAAGTAACTCCCAAAATATTTGATACTCCACAAATATATTCATAACCAAATAGCTCAAAGTATTTATTTTACCAAATTATGACATTTATAGTCAATCCGAACCATTTGAACATAATTAAATGAAATCCGTTCTCATTTCATAGTAAGGCAAATATAAAATGAGATTCCAATCCTTACATATTTAACCAGGGCTATGTCAAAATGTAAAAATTTTAAAATATCATATTTTCCATTTTATAAAATGAAGATATTGGCCCAAGTAAAGAATAGTTTTGAAGATTGAAAAAGGAACTCAGGGATGAACCAGGTCCATCACCGGTAGGCATAGACACGGACAGATTCAAAGCACGTGAGATGCACATGCAGGAGATAAACGAAATCTGGCATAATAATAGATATCTCCTGATCGAAAATATTGCATAATTAATAAAGATAAGGACTCCTTACTCAACTAAAACGCTATCCAAGATAAGGAAGGAGTTGTTAGGAGTTGAGATTAACTAGAACACTCCCACCAAGAGTAGCATTAGAACTCTAGTTATTTTTTACTCTACTAACTCTATAAATCGCAGGATGTTCTCATTCTACAGGTGACGCACAAAAGCAGAAGTTAAACGTGAATTGAGAGCAAAATAGCAAGGATTTTGCAAGCAGTTCGTGTGTGATCAAGTGTGCGAACCTGAAGCTACATGAACCAGATAGAAGAACCAGTTCTAAGTGCCTGTCTTTTATTCTAGTTCAATTGTAGTAGGTATTTTCATAGTGTACCTTTCAGCTTTATCAAGATGCAATTGTAATAGGTACTCAGAGTATTCAAGTTAGAGTTAACTTGAAGTTGTCGCAACAGTTAGAGGTTGTGTACCACAACGGGATTAAAGTTAATCCCAGGTTTACAAAAGTGTTTTGTAAATGCAGTTTTTGGCTCAGTGATTTAGTGAAGAGTTTTGGAAAAGTCCTACTGGGAAGTAGGTTTTGATTTTTTTTACCTTTTGAGCCAGGTGTTTTCTACGTAAAAATCCTTATTGTGCTTCGGGGGCTCCCTGGCAGGTGGATAGGCCTACATACAAAGGAAACTCTAGCGAAATTTTCAGGAAATTAGGAAGTTAGGCAAATTTGGGGCTGATGGTATATGGCATAACTGAAACTGTGTTAAGTGAACCTTGATCCTCATTCGAGGACGAATGATCTTAAGTGGGGGAGGATTTAAGGACCCATAAAAATTTTAATCAAAATACTCGGGGTTTCGTGGTGCCAAGATAGATTCCTGCGTTACTATAGTAGAAATCCTACGGACTGAGAGGAAATTATTTCACAGAAGAACGCATTTCTGCGGTCCATTATATGGCCGCATAATCACTCTGCGGACCGCATAATGGCCGCAGAGTGAAGCAGTAAGTTTGGCCAATTTAAGGTCAGTTTTGCGATCGATTATGCGACCGCATAATCGATATGCAGACCGCATATCGGTCGCATAATTCCTCTTGGGTTTTTGCGGAGGGAGTTCTGCGGTGCATTATGCGACCGCAGAATAAGTATGCGGACCGCATACTGGTCGCATACCTGAGCCAAAGGTTTAGGCCCCTGAGGGCCATTTCTGCGGTCACTTTGCGGACCGCATAACCATTATGCGGCTGCATATGCGACCGCAGACCTGTGTCGGGGCACTATTTTTTTAATTTAAAACCCGACCCCCATTCCGTTAAAATACCCATTTAGTCTATTTTGAAGCTCATTTATGATATTTCTACAGTGAGAGAGAGAGGGTTCTAGAGGGAGGGCCTAATTTTCATCAATTAATCTTCAACCATCACTCAAAGCTTGGAAATATTCAAGTAGAGCACCAAATTCTTCATCCAAAAAGGTAAAACTTCATCACCCCAGCTCTTAATTTCAAACATAGCTATAATGGGGTACTAGTGTGATACTTCATGGGTATAAGGGTGGTTTGTGTTGCATGCATGTATGATAAAGAGTGTGGGAAAAAGTGAGCTAGAACCATGAACGTTTTTCTAATTCTGGGTTCAATTTGTATATTGCTAAAATAGATTGAGATTGCTAAGGGTTCTGGATAATTGTAGAGTCTAAAGAAGCGCAATTAAGGTATGTATGGCTAACTCTCTTCTTCCTAGAATCGAACTCCTGGTGTCCGAATAATGGGTGTAAGTTCTAACTTGATCATACTA